TTTTTAGGTCACTCATCACTGTCTGAAATTACCTTGTTTATTTTCAGTTTTAGCATCTCTGTTGAGTGTCTTTTCCCAATGACAGTATAAACCACCGAAAGGGACTCTGTCTTGCCTCTTGGTATCTCCAAGGCTTACAACTGGATCTGGTACATAGCAGGTTCTGAGCAAATATTTTTTGACTGAATAAATATCCCCTTTCGTATACAGTTTGCAAATGAACCATTTGGACCACACCCTCTGTGGGTTAGCATCAGTATTTCAGGGGCCATAGTGACTTTCTCTTTGTAGCTCCTAACGTTTCTTGTAAAGAAACTCAAATAAAATCAGAAAACCTTCCATGTGGAAGCCCCTGTAGTGAATAAAAGAACTGTACCTCATAACCAGCAGGATGTCAGGAGAAATTTGTAGTCTGCTTTAGACTATATGAGTTTCATACTGACACAGTTCAAGTGATTTTTCTAGAGTCAGGATTCCTTGTGATAAGGATTACCATTTGTACTTTTTGAAGTTTGGAAACACAGGAGTTAAAGAGTCCCATGAAGTTAAAATTAGATATGAGAACACAGTATTTGTAGCATTTGGTTAATGTTTACTTTTCCTGTTTCCTTTTTTGAGCTTAAAAGATTCAGGAAGGCCAGTTCCTGAAAAGGCCTTTCAGGCCAATTTTCTACTTCAATGGATGACTGACTGAAGCAATTTAAAAAATGTCAGCCCCAAAACTCTTTCTCTGCATCATCCATAGTAGTTGTGGCAATTATTCTGTCCCACATCAAAAGCCTTTCTGTCCCTTTTTCAGATGAAAATCTCAACTGATCCTACAAAGTTATTTTCTGCTGGTATTTGAGAAATGTTATTCACAAACAAAACACCTAGGCATAGGTCTCCAACCAGCTTTTAAGAATGTCTCTAAATACTATTCTTTTAAATAAAATTTGTATTCTAAAATAGGAAATTTGTACAAAAGAGTACATTGAACATATGTGTACAGTTTAATAAATTGTTGTAAAGCTAACAGCCATGTTGACCTGCGCTGAGGTGAAGAAACGGAATTTTGCCACCACCGAAAGAATGTTTCTCCTCTTTCCCATCTTTACCTTCTTTTTTCCTCCTAGAGGTAACCATGATCTTGACTTTTATGAAAATTACTTCTTTGCTTTTCTTTGTAGTTTGCCACTTACGTAAAGAACCCCCAAATGATGTAGTTGAATTTTGTCAGTTTTTGAACTTTACATCAATGGAATGATGTACATCAATGGAATCATACTATATTGGGGAGAGTCAATATTATATTTGTTTAATTTGTCCAATATTATATTTGAAAGATTCACCATGGTATCAGGAGTAGCTCTAATTGCTTCATTATCATCCCTGAGTAATACACTGGTTACTCCACTGTAAACACATTTTTTTTTTAGGATTATTTTTTCTATAGTTGCCCTCTATAATCTTTCTTGGGATAGTTTAAAGGAGTTAGGGTATCTTTAGAAATAAGATAGCAGAAATAATAGCAGCCTTACAATATAGTAAAACTATTAAGAACATTAGTTTTGGAATTAGATGATCTGTGTTTAAATCCTAACTACAATTTAGCAAATATCTTGAGTAAATGATTAAACCTTTCTGCGCTTTAGTTTTCCAGAAATGGGGAAAATAATCGTATATCATAAGATTGTTGTAAAGACAAAAAAAAGTCCATAAAACACTTACTACAGTGCCTGGCACATGACTGACCTGAATTAATTATGGTGGGTACTATTACTATTATTCCTTTGTTGAAGTTCTGGTCCAAGTGCTCCTGACTCTTATTTAACCTTGAATTCCTCTGGGAGGATCTTGTTTAATACAGAGGAATTAATGAGATAGAGCCTTCCTCACCAAATGTCATCATCCTCTCAGAAATTGTCTTCCTGGTGACTTCCACATGAATTCCTCCATGAATCTGTCCAAGGAAGTTGCCCTGTGTGGACTGGGATCCTCCCCCTCACGACTGGGTAGGGAAATGTGAGGCCCTTCTGGCCAGGCCCTGAGCAACTCCAGACTGAGTTGCCTTTGAACAAATGCTGGTCTTCAAATTCACTCACTAAGCAGGTGAAGCAGAGTGGAAATATTCTAATCCCCTTTCTTTTCTCCTCTAAGACCTTGTACTAGAGATGTAAGACTTGAAATGCTATTAAGGAATGTATTGTTTTCACAATGGCAGGAGGCTAAGAGTTGGACACATTCCACAGGCATGTTGGGTTTGAGAATCAGGGTTCTAGTCATTCAACAAATATTTGTGGAATAACTGGGTGACAGGGACTGTTTCAGCCAGACAGAATACAGCAATGACTTGTTAAATTTATCAAGACTTGTATTGTGGCCCAGCATACAGTCTGTCTTGTTGAATAGTCCGTGTGACTCCCAACAATCTTAGGAGAAGAGTACTATTTACTATCATCTCATTTTACAGTGAAAAATGAGGCTTATGTAGCTTCACTTTCCTTAAGGATTAATCCCATCCAACTAATAAGTGTCAACACTAAAATTTAAACTTAAATTTCTGACATCATATTATGAGCCCTGAACTTTCTCCCTTACATGTGAAAAGGAAGAAAAAAATTATTTTAAAAATCTTATCATTCATTTGATGGCAGGTAAAATCAACAAATTCCTAATCATGGGTCTGAGAATATGTACTTTGTTTCTGAGTTGTGAGGATTTTCATCAAATAATATTCAATAGTGGACCATAGTTGATAACACTAGTGTGATTTACTGAGAAGGAATATTTAATTAAAAATAATAGAATTTTGCTACAATTTATGGTATGTAACATGATTACATCAAGCATGGCATCATTTAGCATCCAACAAATTTTATTTTGCTATTGAAGAATGATGTGTTTGGGTTTTAAGGCTGGCTTTTTTGGTCTGAACATTTTCAGCTACTACCTAATATGCACATTATTAGGTAATAGTTAAAAGAACACAATTTTTAGATGTTTTTCAATGTTGTGGGCATTGAAATTAATCTAAATGGAGAAAAAATGATCTACAGTATTCCAATGGAAGTTTAGCTTAATATTAAGTTGTATCATATGAAATTGACATTGTGGTTAAAAATGATCAATTATTGTCAATTTCATGTAGTTCATTTAATATATCTTATTATTCCATATGCATGAATTCAGCAGTAACTGAATTAGAGTATAAACTTTGCTAAGACAGGGATTTGGATTTTTTTTCACCACTGTTCACATGGTAGGTTCTCAGAAAATGGTTGTTGAATTAATTAATTAATTAGGAAAGAAAATTAAATAATTAACCTAACATGCCTTTTGTGTTTTTTCTTTTTTTATTTCTATTTTTAAATATTGATACAGTAAAATTCATAAAGCTTAGTGCACAGCTTGATGAATTTTGATGTGTATACACTCATATAACCATCACCCAGATCAAGATACCAAACATTCTCACTAATTTTTCCCCCTTCACCTATTTTACCTATCCCCCACACCCCTTCCCTATGGCAACCACTAGTCTTTATTCCTTAACACATGTGCCTTTTGGTTTAGGTTTAGTATGGGAATAAGAAAAATGACATGATATGCATAGGTTGGTCTCTTAAAATGATAAGAAGTTTAATTTAAAAATTTACTGGAGAGAATTAAAACATATCCACACAAAATTTTGCAAATGAATGTTCATAGCAGTATTGATAATAGCCCAAAGTGGAAATAACCCAAATGACCGTCAATTGATAAATGTTCAAACAATGTGTAGTATACCCATGCAATGGAATATTACTCAGCCACAAAAGGAGTAAGTACTGATAGGTACTACAATATGAATGAACCTTGAAAACAAGCTAAGTGAAAGAACCCAGACACAAAAGGCCACATATTGTTTTATCCATTCATATAAAATGTCCAGAATGGGCAAACTGATAGAGACAGAGAGTGGATTAGTGGTTGCTGTGGTCTGGAGGGAAGAAATGGAGAGTGACTGCTCATGGGTATAGGGGTTCTTTTGGGGATGATGAAAATATTCTGGAATTAGTGGTGGTAAATTATATAACATTGTGAATATACTAAAAGCCACTGAATTTTATGGTATATAAAATATATTTCAGGTTTTAAAAAGTAGAAAAAACTCTAAGTTCCCCTCTGCAGGACATGTCAAAGTAAAATAACAGACGTGTTTATAAATCTGAGAGTATTAGGAAATGTTCCCTTGTTTAATTATAAACCAACTGGAATGTTTGGAGATTTCAGTAATCTGACAGGGAACATTAAGAGGATTAACCTGACTTCCCTGGTGTTAACACCACCAATTTAAACTGCATCATTCAAACACTACACAGTCATATTAAAATAATTGTAGCAATGACTTTCATGAAAAAAAATTAGGTTAAATACCCATTCAGGTCGTAATTATTTAAAATACCTTGTATTTATATAAGGCTTTTACTTCCTTAGTATTCAATTGTGCCTTAAGATCTAATGTATGGGAGAGTCACATCTCTAACCACTTAATTAAAGGCAAACAAGTGGGTGGGATTAGAAGAAATTTATTAGCAATGCTGACATTCCAGGTTGGAACACAAAGGGGAGCAGGATTTAAGAAACCTAGATTATATTTTTCAATGCAGATAGTTAAATTGCAAGAACTAAAATTGCAACATTCTAGAGTACAATGTTAAAAAACGTATTGAAATACTATATACATATATGAGTGTACATATTGTTAAGTATAGACTGAATTTGGAGTGTACACATTGTAAAGCGTAGACTAGATTTTCCTAAGTGAACACTCTTTTGGAACCAGCCTCCAGTTCAAGAAATAACATAGCACACAGAAACAGGGCTTTTTTAAGCCAAAGATAACACTAAAATCGTTTAAATCCCATAAGGGTAGACTTTCAGGAGGCGGGGGAGGCAGAGGACCCTGAGATAGTAATAACATATACTGTAGTATGCACTTTTATTTTGATGGCAAATTTACCAACACCGGTATCTACAGTACTTCACCTTCATTTAACAACTCTTAATGGTCTTTTTTTTTAGATGCAGAGATTCATAAACAGTTCCTAAAAATTTACGCATGACCTTTGAAAATCTACCGCACCTGCATGCTTCTTTCCAACAAAACTAAATTTTTGAAGCAGGAGAGGGTTGGGTGAGGATGCATATTTCTTGCCAGAGTGCTTAACACCGTTGGACCTCTTTTCAGGAGGAAACCGGTCCCCGCAGACGTCGCACGGCCTCTCCTCGCCAAACACTCCTACGCGAAGCCCGCGGAGTCCAATCGCTCCAGGGTAGCCCAGGACCACCCCGCACACTCCGGGGGCCCGAGCCTTTCCTTTGCGCTCAGTCTCCTCGTGGCGCTGTTCCTTTAATAACTGCGTGCGCTGCCAGAGTGTGCGGCGACGGGCTGGTTCCTCCCGCCTCCTCGCCGCTCCCTTCCCCCTCCCATCCGAGTTTCAGGTGAATGGGTCAGCGAGGGAGGAGGCGGCCACACCACACTCCCGCGCCAGGGTCCACCGCCCCCCTCCCCCCGCCCTTTCTCCTTCCTCTGGACGAGGCGGCAGGACTCCCGGGAGAGCTGGCCAGAACCCCGAGGAGCCGCGCGGGGTGCAACAGGTGGGGCTGGCCGGCGCGGGGTCCGGCACCTGGGCTTGCGTTGGTGCGCATGCCCGGGGCCCTGGCGGCCGGAGTCGGGCGAAAGAGGGGAAGGAGGAGCGGGGCAAGGCGGAGAGCTGAGTCCCCAGCCCGGAGTCGGGCTGCGTGCTGGCGCCCGTGCGGTGTCAGGTGCGCTCGCTCCGTGGCTCCCGTCGTGGTCTCGGACCGGGCCGCGGCGAGTAGGTGGGTTGGCCGCGGCGCCTGGGGCGCACGTTCCCGCGGGGGGACCGCGGCGCCTCGGTTTCGTAGGGGACGCGGTGGCCAGTTTCGGTAGCAGTTTCGCCCCGGGGCCGGGACTGGCGGGAACCGGAGAGGCGCGGGTCCCCGGAGAGAGAGCGCTGGGCCCCCTGGAGAGCTGGCATCCCGGCGAGGGGCGTCTTGAAGCTGCGTATCGGCTCAGGCGGCCGCGGCGCGGGCAGCTCGCCGCCTTTATGCGGGTGGCCGGGAAGTTCGTGACCGGCGGGAGTCCTGCGCTCAGCTGTGGGGGCTGCAGTCCGGGGGGCTCCCCGTCGTTTCCGCCCCACCCGCGCCTTCGGGTGCCCCGGGGGGAGAGGGGAGGCCGGGTGTAATCCACCGAGTAGTCCCAGAGGCCCGCGGCGGGCCGACCGGCTGTTTGGAGTCCACTTAGTGCGAGCTGTGTGAGCCCGCGTGGATTTAAGCTGGGCGGCGGTGATTTCATTTCGAGTGAGGCTGTACTTCGAGGGAAGCTGCTCACGCTTCGGATTCTCATCCGTGACCAAAAGGCCGCCGCTGGGGGTGCGGCCCTGCCTCCGGGCGGTCCTGCCCGGCGGGTGCGGGCGCCCTGCCGGGGGAGCTGCTAGGCGCAGCGGGGGCGCTCGGACCCCGACCGGGACCTGCGCCTCCGGGCCGCGGGCCTTAGAGATCCCCCGGTAGGCGGGCCCGGCGCGCGGCCAGCCGGCATTTGCCTGCATCGGAGGAAGCGTGCGGGCAGAGGTGGGTCGAGGGGCCAAAATGGCCTCTGCATCTTGGCCTTGGAAGAACAGCTTCGAGCCCCTCGAGTCCCAGAGGAAGCCCCGGCATCTTCAGCCAGGGCCTGGGGCTGGCTGGGCACACTGCCCACCTGGGACATGACCCGGGGCAGGGAGGAGGCAGCCGTCCAGGTTAGTGTGTGCGCCTCACGCACAACAGGTGTTTTATTGGGATCCCTGGAAAAGAGAAAGCCTTCCCACTGAGGCGCTTCTGGTAGTCCTTGCTGTGATCGAAACTAGTTCTTTGCAAACTAGCGTTTCCAAGTGTCACAATGTTTCTTTTGCATTGTGCTAGGGAATCTTTTTTCTCTCGTGTTTTAAAGTAGCCCTTTTAAGTGGTGGAGGCACAGTAATAGCTCTCCTCTCAGACAAAGCAGCATTTTTGTTTTTTTGTGGTTTTGCATTGATTTAGTTCTTAGATGCCTCTTTTGTTAGGTGACGATGAGAGGAGAATAAAGAGGTTTCGGCAGCTTCCAGGCTGTTGAGGGAATCAACGGGCAGCGCCTTGGAGGTGCCAGGCAGTGTACTAAAAGTTTTGTACTTTCTAGCATTTAATCATCCCGACAATAAAAGCTAGATCTTACTAGAACTCCATCTTAAAAATGAATGAACCACCTGTAAAGGGAAACATATTACAGATGGACTGGCTTGAACACTACTTCAGCTAATCAGGGAAGGTATATTAGAAAAGTAGCAGTTTTTGATGTAGAACTAAAGAACCAGAAACAGATATGGGGAGTTTTTCTGGAATTCTCTACTTTTCACTAGTGGAAACATAAAAGTTTTCCCCATCTCCCTTGATGAAAAGGTAAATGCCCTTTGCCTTTTTTTCCTAAAAATAATGTTGGAATTACTGCCCTTTCAAAATGATACAAGACTTTCAACCACATAAATAAACTGATAACAATCTTTCTCCTTCCCAGGAACCTCCCAGAGGGGTTTTCTCAGTTGCATTTCAAGGTCTACTTAATTAGAATGTTTAGTGGGCTTTTTTTCAGCCACGTAACTATTTATGGAAATATTAGAGTGAAAAGACTTCAGGCGTTTCTGTTACACCTTTAGTTTTAGCCTCTGTACTTGCAGCTGCTCTTTAACGTAGGGGTTCCTAAACTTCAATGTGCTATGTATCACTTGGGTATCTTCCTAAACTACAGATTCTGATTCCTATGTCAGATATGAGGCCTGGAATTCTGTCTTTCTAACAAGCTCCCAGGTGATGTCCATTGGGTTGTGTGATCCTTTCTCTTTCCCTCAGACTGTAAGCACTTTACTTCTGTTGAATTTATCTTGAATTTACTGGGTGTAAGATGTGTGTGAAACTTCAAGGTGTTCACTGCTGTATTGAAATCATAGCTTTTATATGGATTGTTAGTTTTATAAATCAAGTATTAATCGATCATCACTTTGTACCAGGGACTAGTTCTAGGGTTCAGGAGTAAGTGTGATGACCCAGACAGATACCTAAGTGCTTGTGAAGCTGCTATTCCAGTTGGGGTGGACATCATGGCAGTTTCAAATTTAAAAGAAGAAAAATAATTAGGGGGGAAATTTGCTCTGAGAATAAAACAGGTTTCTTGGATGAAGTGAGTGACTAGAAGGGCATCTGTGAAGAGGTGACATTTGAGCTGAGATCTTGAAGGGCAGGTGCCTGCCGTGTAAAGATCTGGATGTGCTAGACAGGAAACTTTTATCAAGACCCTGCTTGGATTGATGCCTTTATTCTAAGCAGTGATTCTCAAAATCATGGTATGCTTAAAAATCATCTGGAGAGCTTACTTAAAATCAGAGCTAGCCTATTTCAAAATTTGCCTAATTTCAAAATTTAGGCAATTTACTAATAATATGCCTATAATCTAAATAGAGTCATTTACGATCAGGAACAGAACAGCTTTAAAAACTTCTTAAAGGCAAATTAACTATTTCTGCATGTGACTGAAAATGAACAGAGTGCCCTTAAATATAATAGTTTATTTTTTACCTACATTTTTCTTTAAAGATTAATTCTTGGGCATAGCAATCTCAGGTGTTGTTTTCCATCTTAGCTTAATTTTCTATTAGACAGCTTCTGGCTGTTTCAAGGGGAGAAATTTTTTAAAAATCTATTTTAACATTAGCTGGCTTTCAGCTTACCATATTCAATAAGGGTCTGCTTCCTTTGCTCCTCTTACACAGCTGTTTGACTTATGTCCCTATCACTGCACGGGTTCTCTGAAGTTGACCAGTGAGCCCCTTAGGCCAGATCCTGAAGTCTTTTCATTCGTCATTTTTTTCCTTCACCGAACATATATTTATTGACCAGCTACTGTGCTGGGCATTGGGCATCAGTCTATCTGTTCCTGGCTGCCTGGTGCAGTCACAGACTGCCTTGAGAGAGACCTTAGAAGCCCTCCAGTCCAGTCACCCCAGTATCAGCAAACTTTAAGCTCTGCATAAAAGGCAGGAGAGCAGATTGTTATTTGTTATCTTGGAGGGTGTGCGGGGTCAGGGTGAGGGAGAGACTTCCTAACATTGAGATGAAATCTGACCCCGTGGTGTGTTTGTGTTTTTTTTAAAGAACCATTTCTAGGACTACAAAGCCAGCATTTCACATATTTGAAGCCCGCCATAGTGGTCCTTCTCGGGTTCTCCAGGTCAAACATTTCCTGTTTTTCCAATCATTTGTCTTAAGACAGTTTTTCTAGATCTTTAACAATCTTAGTTACTCTCCTGAAGAGGCACCTAGTTGGAACATGGTGTACAAACTTCAAGGTTTGGGGAGAGGTTTCCTTTTAGTAACTATCATTCCTTGATATGAGCACTATCTCAATGAAAACTGCCTAAGGTTGGGATAGCTTGTTAGCTTTTGTTGAAATTCTCAGCAAGGAAATGCAGTTTTCCCAATGAAAGGTTGAACTAGAGCTCCCGTATCTAGTACTCATAGTATTAATTTTTAAAATCTGAGTTTACATTTTTTAAATTATTTATTCATGATACCAGTATTTGAAAATGGATACAATATATATAAATGCCTAAACACTGGAATTTCTCACCTTCAGAATAATTACCTTGCTGTAAATGCTTTTGCTCATCTTTAATACATCATCTTAATTATCCCGGTCAGAGGTCAGGATTATCCCTCACTTTGACATATGAGGGTTGCTAGGCTTGGAGAAGAGAAGAGGAATTTATCCTCTCAGATTGTGATCTTTTAAAACTACTAGGTTGACAAACAAGCAAACAAAAAAATATTAACTTAAATAATTTTTAGTATGATTTTGATTATATATCACTAACAGTAGATATAAACTATAGCTTTAAGGTTTAAGATGTTTTAACTAATATAAAATGCTATAAATATAATAGCTGTAAAATTAAACAACATCGATTTAATGTGATGAATAAATAATGTTGTTTTGCTAAAACCAAACTCTCCAGATTCTTTGGAGCACTACATGTCCGTGCTACTGGGTACTGCTTGACTCAGTTCTCTTACTGCTTTCCTCTTGTTCAAACAACTAGGAAGTGTCAGACTTTAACTTGGCACAAAAATTCATTTGTCAAGGAAAAAGAAAATTAGGTTTGTTCAAGGCAATTATTCTGGCCTTCCAGAGAACTTAATGTATGCTAGTAGCAAGTGGGTTAATTAGCCTTTCCAGTGTTCTGTCAGCTGCAAATCTGGATAAGCTTGTCCACCATGTCCCTGGTCATCATTAGAGGCCTCTCTGCAGGTGGACGTAAGTGGTATTTCTTTTGTACTAATTAGGTTCCGTTAGTCAGCCCCAGAGGAATCTGCCTGACCACACTGCGCATACACAGGATGTGCTCGAGGTCACAGGGTTCTCTCTTCTGTTGCCTTCATCCCCCAGTCTGATAACCTCAAAAAAAGGAAAGTTGGTATGGCATGACTTGCTCTTAAGGAACTTTCTAAAGTTATTTGTATCACAATATAAAATCTCTGTTATTAGGAGAGACGTGACAACTAAACTCTGAATCAAAGAAATAGCAGTTTTGAAAGGGATTTTGTTTGGATTTTTGACAAAACTTAAACTTCAGCCTGTGTCTGGATTAGTTTAGAATTTTCCATTGAGCCTGAGATTTTTGGCCTGGCCCTGAATGAGTGAACCCTAGCTATAGAAGGAAGGGATAAGATTCCTTAAAAGTCAGTTTATTGGTACTTGACATTCAGCTTCCAAAATGTTTAATAGCATTTAAATTCAGTTGTCTTCCCTCACTGTTTGGAAAATTATGCTGTCTTGGTATTACTAATATTCAATCTATTTCCATCTTTGAAGTTTTACCTACTATACCTTTGGGGCAATATTTTATTCTGAGAAATTTGAAATAGACTGCCCTTAAGGATGTGGAGGATAGACAGTTATGATTGATTTTAAAGAACAAAACTTAAAAGAGTTTGAATTGCTTGACTGTTCCTAATATAATAATGTATGATTGTGCATGCCTTATTTGAGAAGGAAAAGATATTAGACACTTTAATATGCTCAGATTATAGATATTGCTCAAATGTCCTCCCCCTATTGCCCCAGCTTCCAGCTCTTCCTCTTTATGTCTTCTCAGGTTACCTCCATTCTGCACTTTATCATGTAGTTCAGCCCTTACTAATGTCCATTGTCATTGCTGTTTTCTTTGTGTGTGACCTCCCGGAGAACTGTGTCTCATACTTCACAGGCTCCCATGGTATAGTGTAGGTACTTAATAAATACTTGTTGATTGAGTGAAATTGCCTCTCAAATATTTGGGTTTGTGCTCTGAGGAATTTTAGATCAAAGTCATTCTGCTTTTCTTTTAGAGAAGAGGGCTTTTTAATACAATGTGTATTTAGTGTTTTCTCTTTTGTAAAAGTTATGCCTATTTTGAAGACTTAGAAAAAGAGGAGGGAGAAATATCCACAATCCCACCATCCATAAATGCATTTGATAATGATTTGTCATGATAAAACTATACTTTTAAACCAGATGATGCTTCAGTTAATATGGCTAGTATGTCTTCATAATTGCTCTGTATGCCCTTCCATATATATATATATATATATTCTCATTTTATATGAACTTCCAAAATAATGTGAAACAAATATATTTCAAGAAACTTTCTTTCACATATCTTCCTTGTTCTTTGAAGGGACTATTTTTAGAAAATACATTTTACCTATGCTGTAAAAGCACTGTAAAATTATCATAACTACAACTTAGAATCTCAAGTTTAAGCATATCTATGTGCCAGTGATGTGCAGAACATGATGCTAGGTGCCATGAGGACTACCAGGCTCAGTGATTCCTATGCTCAGTGAGTTCCTGTGCTCAAGGAATTAACCGTCCAACATATAAAAATAGCAGTGGGAAGAACAAGATAAGTAGTCATGGTGGGAGAGGTTACTTGAGACTGGTTTTCTTAGTGATGCCAGGAAACTGAGCTCAGTAGTAATGCCATTACCCTACTTCTGTTGCTTAGATTGGCTTATCTTGGGAGCTGCGGGGCGTTGCTTAGCCTGAAGATCAGGTGACCACTGACATCAGCCATGTCTTCGAGACCTTTTGAAAGTCCCCCTCCTTATAGACCTGATGAATTGTAAGTAAATAATTGTAGTTTTTATTTCTTTTAAGTCATGGAAAAAAATACAGCATGGAAACTTTATTGTTTGTTTGCTTTGAGAAATAAAATAATATTTGTATTTGTAAATTTAAATTGAGCCAAAGGGTATATGGTGAAAAGAGAGTTTTTCCTTCTTACCATTAACTTCCAGGATGACAGTTATTTTTCTGCAGAGGCAACTACTGTATCTGTTTCTAATGTTTGCTTTAATATAGTCTAGCTTATATTTATGTGTATATTCCGTTTTGTTTTTCACAGATGGTAGGAAGCTTCTGTATGCCTTGTTAGATGACCACTGGCAACATATTGTAGGTTTTTAAAATAATGTTTTTACTGAGATATAATTCACATGCCATACAGATTTACCCATTCACAATGGACAGTTCGGTGGCTTTTTAGTAGTCACAGAGTTACCATTACCACAATCAATTTTAGAACATTTTCATTGCCGCCTCTCCAAAGAAACCCCTGCCTATTAGCAGTCACTCCCCATGTCTCCCCAGTACTAGGCAGCCACCAGTCTACTTTCCATTTCTAGATTTGTCCATTCTGGACAGTTGATGAAAATGGAATCACACAGTGGTCTTTTGCTTTCACTTAACGTGATGTTTTCCAGCGTCAACTTCAAGAATGATTCCTGCCATTATATAAAACAAGAAGCAAAGTTGAGGGTTCTTGGTGTCCTTAGTCATTTGGGGATTTAACAATGAATTCTTAAATTTTAAGTTTGCTAGCAAAGATCGATAGAGATTTCCTCCTTTAAGTAGTTTAACTCTTTGATAACTGTCATAAGGGTTATGTTCCTGTTATTTTGCCTCCTGATTAACACGTGAACATGGTAGGCACACAGTTCTTCATGATAGTGTGGTCCTTAAAATAATCTAGGTAGTACAGTAATTGAGTAGTGCTCCATTAACTTGTGATTTATTCTGTGTTGCTTTTATAAACAATGGTGAAATACGACATACATACACACATATACTTATGTTGTGCATATATGTGTGTATATATACATATAATATAGGGCACAGGATGTGTATATGAGATGACAAAGCAAAATCATTACTCGAGTCAAGAAACAGAACACCTCCAAGTCCTTCCCTGCGCCCTCTTCTTTCCCTGGAAAACACTGTTCTGGCATATGGTCACCACATGCTTTTCTCTCTCTATTCTTTTACCACTTTATACATCCTCAACAATACAGCATAGTTTCACTTTTTTTAAAACGTATTTTTTCTTTGGGGCAGTATTATAGAAATATAATGTTTAATTTCATAGTCTTATAACCATACTAAAAATAAAAGAAATTAATTTTAATAATGTATTTCACTTAACCCAGTATATCCAAAATACCATTATTTCAACATGTGATCGATATAAACACTTTACTTGTTTTTGCTTCCTTCTTCCAAGATAGTGTTCTAGACCTACCAGATGCTGGGGTCTGCCACAAATAGGACTCACAAGATGTATAGTGGCTTCACAAGTTTGAAAAGTTTTTGGTTAGCTTCTCCTGAAGCAGATCACAAGATAGTTTAACATACTTCGTTTTTTTAATAGGCTCTATTTTTTTAAGAGCAGTTTTAGGTTCACAGCAAAGTTGAGAGGAAGGTACAAATATTTCCCATGTACCCCCTACCCCTACACATGCATCACCTCCCTCATTATGAACATAACCCACCAGAGTGGTATAGTTGTTAACAATTGATGAACCTACATTGACATATCATTATTACCCAAAGTACATAGTTAATGTTAGGGTTCTCTCTTGGGTATTGTTACATTCTTTTTTCATACTATGGTCACTAGGTATTTTACACTTAGCAGCACATCTCAATTTGGACTAGCCACATTTCAAGTGCTCAGTGGATCTATGTGGCTGGTGGCTGGCATATTAGACAGCACAGCTCTGTAGCGCGCCACTCAATGGATATGTCACAATTACCCTCCACTCTAGGCAGATATTTGGACTGTTCCTAGTTTGGGGCTATCATAACCAATGCTTCTGTGAACATTATGCTGTTAGTGGGTATACAGTGATACAATCATTTTGGGAAACATTTTGATATTTTCTAGTTGGAGTTAAAGATTAAAAGAAATTCAGTGTAGAAATTCTACTCCTAGATATATACCTTAGACAAATAAGTGCCTGTGGATACCTGGATACGTGTTTAAGGATGTTCAGAGCTACACTGTCATGACAGCCCCAAGTGGAGGCATCCCAGATACCTGAGTAGAATGGGTTATGTAATTTTCATACTTGACATTTTCAAAGACCAGCTTATCAGTATTCTCTCAGGTTCTTCCTTTCCATTTCTTTCTCATTCTCATATACTAAGGTAATTTCTTCAAATTCCTGTGGTTAGCAGTGCTTAGTAGTACAATGTCTTGCTTTTGAGTGAGGAAGGTGGTCCATGGAAATAATGGCAGGAACAAAGGGGGTGAGGTCAGTTAAGGAACTGAATTTTGTTTCCCTAGGGCCTGCAGTCTAGATTCAATGTACTCACACATCAGTGGGTCTGTCACAACCTGTGTTTATGATTAAATTACTGGAGTTTGCAAGGTATTTTTATAAAGGAGTTTCAACATCCAACTAGGCATCACCCTGATTGCTGTCACTGCACATTTGATTCACGTTGTAGCTGTTGCCATAACTAACTCTAGATACGTCATGATTTCTTTAATGTTTTACTGCCCGGACAGAGACTAAACTCTGAGGAGCCCTGCCTGAGACACTCCTGTTCTCAGGCTCAGCGCCCAGCACACATCAGCCTGGCAGTTCCAGTAAATAGCTGTCAAGTGAATGAATGAATGAATGCATGTGTTTCCTTAAGTAGGAGAGCGAGGCTACCAGGAATTGCACGTGACTCTTGGTAGGTGAGTGAGTGTAGGTGTCATATATGAATGCACCAGTCTCCCATCACACAGTTGATACCATTGTTCTCAACTGCCTGTGCCCCTCCCATCCCCGGGGATCATGGTTTACCTGGTGTGGAATACTCCATCTTTCCTTAAGTGACTGGAATATGTAGCAAGATCTGAGAACCTCTGCTCTATAGAAACTGGAGCAGTCATTCTCAGTGTGTGGTTCCCAGACCAGCAGCATCTAGAAATTTGTCTTACCCAGACCTGCAGGGTCAGCATCTCTGGGGATGGAGGCCTACAATTTATGTTTTAATAAGCCCTCCAGGTGATTCAGATGCATGGATGCCTTACTTTTCGAAAACTAGGTGTCTGAGTCAGTTCTGGCTGCTAAAACAAAGTACAGACTGGGTAACTTATAAACAACAGAAATTTATTTCTCACAGTTCTGGAGGCTGGAAATCCAAGATAGTGTTAGTTTAATCAGGTTCTGGTGAAGCCCTTTTCCAGGCTGCAGGTCTGTAGATTTCTTGCTGTATCCTCACATGGTAGAAGGGGCGAGAGAGCTCTGTGGAGTCTCTTGTAAGGGCACTAATCCCAGGCCTGAGGGTCTACCCTCAGTTACCTACCAAAGGTTCCATCACATCAGGGCTTAAGATGTTGACATTTGAGTTTTGGGGGGACACACATTTGCTCCATTGCAGTGGGGCAGTACCAGTAATAGTTTTATTTGCCAGCTGTTGATTTAAATTGTTCTAAGTACTCTGTACATCCTTTCTGCTTACCTCCAAAAAGTGCTAACCTGAAATTGTTTCCATGTGCATTTCAGCAAACCCAGTCATTATGCACCAAGCAATGACATATATGGTGGAGAGATGCACGTCCGACCAATGCTCTCTCAGCCAGCGTATTCCTTCTACCCAGAAGATGAAATTCTTCACTTCTACAAATGGACCTCTCCCCCAGGAGTGATTCGGATTCTGTCCATGCTCATTATTGTGATGTGCATTGCCATATTTGCCTGTGTTGCCTCCACACTTGCCTGGGACAGAGGCTATGGAACTGCCCTGATGGGAGGTGGTATAGGCTACCCTTATGGAGGAAGTGGCTTTGGTGGCTACGGAAGTGGCTATGGCTACGGTTATGGCTATGGTTATGGCTACGGAGGTGGCTACACAGATCCAAGAGCGGCAAAGGGCTTCCTGCTGTCCATGGCTGCCTTTTGTTTCATAGCTGCATTGGTGATATTTGTTACAAGCGTTATAAGATCTGAACTATCTAGAACAAGAAGATACTACTTGACTGTGATAATAGTGAGTGCAATCCTGGGCATCATGGTGTTTATTGCCACAATTGTCTATATAATGGGAGTCAACCCAACTGCTCAGGCTTCTGGATCTGTATACAGCACACAAATATATGCCCTCTGCAACCAGTTTTATGCACCTGCAGCTACTGGACTCTACGTGGATCAGTATTTGTATCACTATTGTGTGGTGGATCCCCAGGAGGTATGGGTTGCTTTGGTTGGTCTCCCCCACTACCCCTTTCTCTTTGGGTCAGAGGCTCTCAACTCTGGATGCTTAATAGAATCACTTTGGAATGTTAAAAAAAATATCCATGGCAAAGCTGCATTTCTATTTAAATCAGAATCTGGGAGATGGGCTCAGTGTTGTTATTAACACACCATATAATTCATCCATTTAAAGTTCAATTCAGTAGTTTTAGTATATTCACAGGGTTGTACAACCATCACCATGATCGATTTTAGAACATTTTCACTATCCCAAAAAGACACCCCATACCCAGTTAGCAGTTGCTTACCTAACCCTCCCCAGTCTTAGGCAACCACTAGTCCTATTCTATAGATTTGCCTATTCTGGATATTTCATATAAACAGAATCACACTGTATTTATTCTTTTATGATTGGAGGTTCTCTCTTGGGTATTGTTACATTCTTTTTTCATACTATGGTCACTAGGTATTTTACACTTAGCAGCACATCTCAATTTGGACTAGCCACATTTCAAGTGCTCAGTGGATCTATGTGGCTGGTGGCTGGCATATTAGACAGCACAGCTCTGTAGCGCGCCACTCAATGGATATGTCACAATTACCCTCCACTCTAGGCAGATATTTGGACTGTTCCTAGTTTGGGGCTATCATAACCAATGCTTCTGTGAACATTATGCTGTTAGTGGGTATACAGTGATACAATCATTTTGGGAAACATTTTGATATTTTCTAGTTGGAGTTAAAGATTAAAAGAAATTCAGTGTAGAAATTCTACTCCTAGATATATACCTTAGACAAATAAGTGCCTGTGGATACCTGGATACGTGTTTAAGGATGTTCAGAGCTACACTGTCATGACAGCCCCAAGTGGAGGCATCCCAGATACCTGAGTAGAATGGGTTATGTAATTTTCATACTTGACATTTTCAAAGACCAGCTTATCAGTATTCTCTCAGGTTCTTCCTTTCCATTTCTTTCTCATTCTCATATACTAAGGTAATTTCTTCAAATTCCTGTGGTTAGCAGTGCTTAGTAGTACAATGTCTTGCTTTTGAGTGAGGAAGGTGGTCCATGGAAATAATGGCAGGAACAAAGGGGGTGAGGTCAGTTAAGGAACTGAATTTTGTTTCCCTAGGGCCTGCAGTCTAGATTCAATGTACTCACACATCAGTGGGTCTGTCACAACCTGTGTTTATGATTAAATTACTGGAGTTTGCAAGGTATTTTTATAAAGGAGTTTCAACATCCAACTAGGCATCACCCTGATTGCTGTCACTGCACATTTGATTCACGTTGTAGCTGTTGCCATAACTAACTCTAGATACGTCATGATTTCTTTAATGTTTTACTGCCCGGACAGAGACTAAACTCTGAGGAGCCCTGCCTGAGACACTCCTGTTCTCAGGCTCAGCGCCCAGCACACATCAGCCTGGCAGCTCCAGTAAATAGCTGTCAAGTGAATGAATGAATGAATGCATGTGTTTCCTTAAGTAGGAGAGCGAGGCTACCAGGAATTGCACGTGACTCTTGGTAGGTGAGTGAGTGTAGGTGTCATATATGAATGCACCAGTCTCCCATCACACAGTTGATACCATTGTTCTCAACTGCCTGTGCCCCTCCCATCCCCGGGGATCATGGTTTACCTGGTAGGGCTCAGTGTTGTTATTAACACACCATATAATTCATCCATTTAAAGTTCAATTCAGTAGTTTTAGTATATTCACAGGGTTGTACAACCATCACCATGATCGATTTTAGAACATTTTCACTATCCCAAAAAGACACCCCATACCCAGTTAGCAGTTGCTTACCTAACCCTCCCCAGTCTTAGGCAACCACTAGTCCTATTCTATAGATTTGCCTATTCTGGATATTTCATATAAACAGAATCACACTGTATTTATTCTTTTATGATTGGCTTCTTTCATCTAGCATTAATGTGTTTGAGGTTCATCCATGTTGTAGCATGTACCAGTACTTTATTCCTCTTCATTGCTGAGTAATAATCTATTGTATGGATATAGAACATTTTTATTACCCATTCAGCAGTTGATAGACATTAGGCTGTTACCACATTGGCTGCTATGAAAAATGCTCTGAACATTTGTGTAAAAGTTTTTGTGTGAACTACGTTTTAATTTCTCTTGAGTATATACCTCAGGAGGGAATTGCTGGGTCTTAAGGTGACTCTGTCTAAGGAACTTTTGAGGAACCATCAGACTTGTTTTCCAAAGCAGCACTGTTTTACATTTACTGTTAATATATGAGGATTTCAGTTTCTCCACCTTCTCCTCACCCAATTGTTTTTGTCTGTTTGGTTCCAGCCATGCTGATGGGTGTGAAGTGGTACCTCGTTTTGATTTGCATTTCCTTGATAGCTAATGATCTTGAGCTTTTTAGCTATTGCTCTATCTTCCTGGGAGAAATGGCTATTCAGGATCTTTGCCCATTTTTTAATTGGACTATTTGTATTTTTATTATTGAATTGTAAGAATTCTTTATTTGTATGTAAGTCCCTTAATAGATACATGATTTGTAAGTATTTTTCATTTTGTTATTTTCTTTTCACTTTGTGTATTTTTCAAAAGTTTTTTATTTTGGTGATGTCTAATTTTTTCTTTTGTTGCTTATGCTTTTGGTGTCATGTTTAAGAACACTTGGTCTAATTCAAAGTCACAAAGATTTACTAAGTTTTACTTTTAGCTCTTACAGTTAGGTCTGTGATCAATTTTAAGTTAATTTTGGGTATGGTATAAGGAAGGAGTCCAATATTCTTTGCATGTGGATATCCAGTTCTTTGTACTATTTGTTGAAAGGACTATTTCTCCATTAAATTTTCTTCATGCCGTTTTCAAAAATGAATTAACTATAAACATCAGGATTTATTTCTAGAGTCTCAGTTTGATTCTACTAATCTGTATTTCTATCCATATGTCAGTACCATGCTGTCTTGATTACTGTAGCTTTGTAAAGCTTTGAAATTGGGAAGTGGGAGTCCTCCAACTTTGTTCTTTTTCAAGGTTGTTTTGGCTAGTTTCTGGGTTCTTCACATTTTCATAAGAATTTCAGGATCAACTTGTCAATTTCTGCAAAAACAGGCCAGCAAGGATTTTGAAGGATTGCATTTCATCTGTAAGTCAACTTGAGAAGTATTGTCCTCTTTATATTAAATTCTTCTGATTCATGAACAACATAGGATGTCTTTTCACTTATGTAGGTCTTCAATTTCTTTCAAAAGTGTTTTGTAATTTTCAGTGTTAAGTCAGTATTTTTAAAAGCTATTCAGGTGATTCAAGGGGTAAGGGTCGAGAACTCTGCCTTCAGTTGCCATGAGTCATTCTAATTATTTTAAGAAAATGTTTCTGGGTTACTCATCTTTTGTTCCTTTTTTTTTCTTCACACTGATTAGGAATTCTCATTCTTTCACCTGAGTGAGTCACTATTGTGAGATTAGACCTTCTCCAGTAACTGCCATTATTTTGAATATAGAAAGGTTTTAAACATGTTTGTTGTTGACAGATGCATCTGTGGTAGTAGGGCTGAGGGTTGATACTCCTGTGTTACCACAACCCCATCTCTGTTAGTCCTCTGCCTACCCAAAACTTGTAATTGAAAAAGGATATCATAGATAGCTGCAGAGAGACACCTCCTGTTACCCATGAGCAGACATTTAGACCAGAGTCCTGATACTTGCCTCAACTCCAAGTGCCTCCAGGCCAGTGTACCACTTAACACACCTGTCAGACACTGGGGCTCTTTCCAGTAAGTACACAAAAGATTCCTTAAACAGAATCCACCTTCTAGACTAAAGGAGTCCTTCATCCATTTTCTCTTTTATAGCTTGGTTAGATCATGCCTGCATAATTTGTGGTTAGGCAGATCAACTGTGGACTGAAATTTAAATTTCAGTGTAAAAGGATTTGCCAACCATCATTGGGCATTTAAAACTACTTCTGAGAATAGCATTTTTCAAGCCCTTTAGAAGTATACCAATGATTGGGTTAATTTACTGGCCATTTTTACCTGTTTATAAAGATACAGCCCCCTGGTACTTAAGCTTTGGAACTAGTTTTCTATAATTCTGAAATGGGGGTGGTATAGTAGGTGACTTTAAGCATATTTTGGGGATTGAATCAAGTTGAGTGTGTGTATGTGTGAGATTTGCTAGCCTCAGCCCAACTACTGTGGGCTGTATTTTATATTTCTAAAATGGAACCATATTTATCAGTTTCATATCATTTAAACCACAGATACTTAGTATGGCCTTAGGTATTTGTAGAGGGTGGACTGGGGTAATGTAAGCGATTCAACTCTAATTGTGTCAATATCCTCAATTTCTTTTTAGGCCATTGCCATTATACTGGGGTTCATGGTTATTGTGGCTTTTGCCTTAATAATTTTTTTTGCTGTGAAAACTCGAAGAAAGATGGACCAATACAACAAGTCAAATATTTTGTGGGACAAGGAACATATTTATGATGAGCAGCCCCCCAATGTTGAAGAGTGGGTAAGTGTTTAAAAAATATCAGCAAACATCCAGTCTTTTATTAAACTCCTAGGTTCCTGTCTCTAAACTTGAATTTTAGCGCTTTGTGAAACTTTGTTCTGAGAATTATTGTCTGTGTCTGTTGCAAAAGTTGTGGCCTCAGTTTTAACTCAGAACGTAAAGAAGGTGGGAGAGGTGAAAATTGTTTTACTATGAGATAAAAATCAGATTTCCACTTTACAGAAGTGGATCTAGACACTGAAAGAAATGGGTTCTAAACGAAATGTGTAGAAAGAACTTGGCCTTTGCAAACCAAAAATGATGCCTCCCCTCCCCCTTTTACTTGCCTGCCTTTCATATTGGAAGGAAACTATTGATTGCTGTCTTGGGTCAAGACTGGCAAGGGTATTTCTTACATGGGTAACGCCCTCGCAGATCAGAGGGAATTTAGAAGTATACCAATGATTGGGTTAATTTACTGGCCATTTTTACCTGTTTATAAAGATACAGCCCCCTGGTACTTAAGCTTTGGAACTAGTTTTCTATAATTCTGAAATGGGGGTGGTATAGTAGGTGACTTTAAGCATATTTTGGGGATTGAATCAAGTTGAGTGTGTGTATGTGTGAGATTTGCTAGCCTCAGCCCAACTACTGTGGGCTGTATTTTATATTTCTAAAATGGAACCATATTTATCAGTTTCATATCATTTAAACCACAGATACTTAGTATGGCCTTAGGTATTTGTAGAGGGTGGACTGGGGTAATGTAAGCGATTCAACTCTAATTGTGTCAATATCCTCAATTTCTTTTTAGGCCATTGCCATTATACTGGGGTTCATGGTTATTGTGGCTTTTGCCTTAATAATTTTTTTTGCTGTGAAAACTCGAAGAAAGATGGACCAATACAACAAGTCAAATATTTTGTGGGACAAGGAACATATTTATGATGAGCAGCCCCCCAATGTTGAAGAGTGGGTAAGTGTTTAAAAAATATCAGCAAACATCCAGTCTTTTATTAAACTCCTAGGTTCCTGTCTCTAAACTTGAATTTTAGCGCTTTGTGAAACTTTGTTCTGAGAATTATTGTCTGTGTCTGTTGCAAAAGTTGTGGCCTCAGTTTTAACTCAGAACGTAAAGAAGGTGGGAGAGGTGAAAATTGTTTTACTATGAGATAAAAATCAGATTTCCACTTTACAGAAGTGGATCTAGACACTGAAAGAAATGGGTTCTAAACGAAATGTGTAGAAAGAACTTGGCCTTTGCAAACCAAAAATGATGCCTCCCCTCCCCCTTTTACTTGCCTGCCTTTCATATTGGAAGGAAACTATTGATTGCTGTCTTGGGTCAAGACTGGCAAGGGTATTTCTTACATGGGTAACGCCCTCGCAGATCAGAGGGATGATTCTGCACTAACACCTGTGAAATATATTCGTGAGGCAGAGAGAGATTAGAGCAATTTCCTTTTTTGTATATATGTTGATCCTACCAGTGGTGGCTGCCTATATGAGATTTGCTGAAAAGCCAGAAAGTCCCTGTCTCCCAAAATAACCTCCCAAATGTGTGTTACTGATACCTAACCAGTCCTTAGAGATGTCTGGAGTAAGACTTTGTTTCTTGGACATCCTCTGTTAGACTGCTTTTGGAGACAACCTCAGAAACTGCTGTCGTAGGTTTCTTTGAGTAGATTGATTCCCACTCAGGAAGATTAGTTGGGAAACCTGGACATTGGTTCCTGGGTAGCTAGGTTTCAGCCAGTGGGTGTGGAGTAGAGAGGGCTAAGGATGGGTGCTGCTGGTCAGGCCAGATGTAAAGACATTGCTCATATTGAAGACTCCTTTAGGTGCTGGCATGCTGGACATACCTGATTTTTGAAGAAATCTAGAAATGCAGATGAAATTTTTTTATAGTTCAGGAGAAAAAATGAGGCAGGCTTAGGAAAATCAGGAGGTGTGGTATATATTTGGCACTGAGATGATAGTTCCAATCATCCTAACCTCTCCTTGAAGCCTGCTTGTTCTTTTTTTCTTCCTCATTTTCTCCCCCATTAAGTATGAAGGCATTAGAGGAAGTGTTTCCTTTTGACCTTTACCTCCAGGCAAGGCCACCTGTACATGGAATAGGACAGTCTATTGTGAACTATGAAGTAAATGTTTTGCCGAGAGTTTCTGGGTGTGTCAGTTTTTACTGGCTGTTGGATTTGTTTACTGAAGGTTTCAAGAGCCTAAAAAAAAAAAAAAAACCTGACTTGAGAGAGACCAGTGATAGTGATATTGGAGTCCCAGTGAACTTTGACCTCATATGATTTTACTGTCATGAAAGTTTAATCAGTTCTGGGTGCTTTTGATAATTTGGCAACAGACAGCAGTAACAATTGATGAGCTATGTGATGATGAAAATGGAAGTACTTTACATGTAAAAAGGCATTATTTTTATGATGCTTCCTATATAATGGAATCCCTGGAAATCTGACAGCCAGCATGGAGGTTGTCCCACGTATACTTCATAGTTTCTCTGTCATAAATAAACATTTTATTGTATGAAACTTAATCATCTGTTGAATAGCACACATAGTGATTTTGAGCATAATAGTGTTTTCTGTTACTTAGTCCCTTACAAATTCCTCATTTCTTCTTGCCTTTCATTTTCCCAACTGAAATGCCTAAGAGAGGCTATTGGCAATAAGGTATCTGGAGGTGGTTTTCACCACAGGTAATGGGCTTGTCCTTCCATTTCCTCCTCACCTGCTCAAGTGTGCTTTGCTGAAATCAGGAACGCATTCTCATTCTTTTCCCAATTCCACAACCAGATTCACTCTCATTTCTCTGCTCTTTTGCGCTATTTACTCAGATCAATTTCACACTGATGACCTAGCTGTCCAAGTAGGTATACTTAATGCTGCATGTAAAGTGCATGACAGTGGAGTGCATTAGTGATTATTCCTTCTTTTAGTTATTAGAAACTAATATCCTAAAAATAATCTCCACTGAAAATAATGGAAGAGAATCTAGAATTAATTACTTATACTAAGTGAGGATTAAAATTCTAATTTTAGTTAGAATAAAGATAAGACACTCCCCATACAATAATAATGGGTTGTTTTGGGGGAAAAAGAAAAACTAGAGAAACAATTAGTTAGCTGCTGAATATTATTAGTTACATGCTAGGGTAGGTCTAGACATTATTATTTTATTAGATCTAACTGTGTTTTTTGGATTGTAAACATCATTAAGATCAGAGTGTTAGGCAGATTTTTGTCTTTTTGCATTATCTGTTGAGAAAATGCAACTCTCTAATTTCCTGTCCCTCATTCTCCAGCACAGTGGTTTTTCTGTCTTCCTAGGAATTTTTAGGGTTGTCTTTTTCCCCTCCCCTTTTTGGATATCTTGTACTTTGTAAAGTAAGCAGGCTGTGTTTGCACACTGTTTGGGTATTAACCTGGTCCTTTGTAGTCAGTCACTCAAGTTTGTACCAACATTATTTTTTAAATGTATAAAGGTTCTTTAAATTTGCAGATCTCAAAACCCAGATCTAACAGATACTTTTACTGAATTAAAAAATAATATGTATAATTATTTTATCTGATTGGTAACTAGAGAATTTTGAAAATACAATGAAGTATAAAGAAAATTCTACCTCTCTGTTACTGTTTTGATGTATTTTCTTTAATCCTTTTACCCCCTCCTTATTCTCAGTGAGAAGTATGATTATAGTTCCCATTGGTGTAAGATTCTACCTTTTCTGATTGAGCATTATATTGTAAACTTTTTAACCACATCATTGAAGATTTTTCAGAAAAATTTCTGATACTATTAAAAATTCTTATTAAAGTATATATATACACACAGAGTAAATACATAAAGTGCACTAATTTAATTGTATGACTCTGAATATTTACACACATATGCCTATGTAACCACCACCCAGATCAGGATACAGAACATTCCAGTATCCAGGGATTGCGCATGCCTCTTCTCTGACAGGGTCCCCTAGAGAGTGGTAAACTCCTCTTGGTTCTGTCACATCAGTTAGTTTTGCCTGTTCTTAAGCTTCATATAAATGGAATTACTTACTAGTGCTTTGTGTCCCCTCAGTATGGTGTCTTATGAGATTGGTTTATATTGTTGCATCTGTCAGTATGATACTGTGTCTTTATTTTTGTATTTTTTGGCAAGATAAAAGTTTTCCTAATTATTCCTTTTTTAAAAGCCCATCGTCAGAATTACAATTAAAAAAAAAAACGGGTTTCCAGAGAAACCTCTCCTTGCCATTCTTGAGTCCCCATCTGCCTGGCTCTGGGTTTCTTTCCTCCCCCTCTCCCACTCTTCTAGGTGCTTAGTTTCTTGTGCCTCCTTTCATTGTTTTATTTTGTGAAAATAAAACCAAAGAAAAATAAACTTCCTGCTTTTTACACAAAAGTTAGCATCATACTATTCTGCCTGCATCTTGCTCTTTTTACTTTACAGTTTATTTTGGTGATCATTGTTACCACTGCATAGGGCACCTTCTCCTGGTATGGATGTACCACGGTTTGTGTAACCAGGCTCTGTATGTAATGTAATGTAATGTGACATAATTACATACAGTCTCTGTACATAATGTAATGTAAGTGTAGTCAGTAATGGTTACATTTGCTGTTTCATGTAACAGACAATAATATGATTTAAAAAAAACCCAAACTTTGTGTACCTTGTATATAGGTCTATACTTGTATACTTCTGTAGGTTAGCTATCCCAGAGTAGTATAACTGAGTCAAAGGGTATACGCATCTATAACTTTGATAGATAGAAATAGAACACTGAAATTGTCTTCTTTGGAGTTGTACTACTTTTATACAGCCATTGGAGATGTGTGAAATTCTGGTTTCATACACACCTTCTCTAATAACATTCCATTGTACAGTTGTATTTGGCCAATCCCTGTTGTTGCCCATGAAGTTTCTTCAACTTTCCACTTTCTAAAACGGCTTTTTTTTGTGGTGGTTTACAAGAAGTTCTTAATATAAAAGTAATACAAGTTTAT